TTATCTCTTCTAGCTATTCTCTGGAATTCTGCATTCAGTTGGGTGTATCTTTCCCTTTTTCCCTTGCCTTTCGCTTCCCTTCTTTTCTCAGCTATTTGTAAAGCTTCCTCAGACAGCCATTTTGTTTTCTTACATTTCTTTTTCTTTGGGATGGTTTTAGATGCAACCTCTTGCACAATATTGCGAACCTCCGTCCATAGTTCTTCATGAACTCTGTCTATCAGATCTAATCCCTTAAATCTATTTGTCACCTCTACTGCATATTCATCAGGGATATGATTTAGGTCATACTTGAGTGTCCTAGTGCTTTTCCCTATTTTCTTCAATTTAAGCCTAAATTTCGCCACAAGAAGCTCATGATCTGAGCCACAGTCAGCTCCTGGTCTTGTTTTTACTGACTGTGTATAGCTTCTGCATCTTTGGCTGCAGAGCACATAGTCAGTCCGACCAAGAAGATAACTAAAAAAGTGAAAGTTGCATCTTGACGTCTTTGGTACTGCAGACTGAAGAGAATTATGACTTATAAGAGATGGCCTTTAAATGTCACTAGAGCTGTGAGAAGCGAAACTGCAAGGGAACCTAAATAAATAGCTTTCTCATGGATGGCACCAAAGTCACATGACTTTTTCCTACTGAACTGAATTGCATGTGCTGGGCTGGAGGCCTTTAAATGTTGCATTAGGTCTGGAGACTCAACCTATGAAAATGTCTCCCATGGCACCAGTGATGCACTGAGGGCTTTTAGCTAGAAGACGAGCAGCAGGAATGCCTCCCTGACCATCTGTCTTGACATTCCCAGCCGAGTGAGTCAGAGGCCCACTTATTATTTGATGAAGTGGAGGTAGCCATCCAATGTGAAGCCAAGAGAGATGTCCATTCCTAAGAATGGAGTCAGTGGCTCAGTGGCCTGATGGGCCTTATAGCTCAGAATTCTGGCCCTGTGTGGATTAATAATTCTGGAGACAGAATATCTGAATGCCTTAAGGACAACTAAATGAAACCTTTCGTGTGCATCTTTGCATGATTGGCTCAAAAACGAAGGAAGGAATTCACACTGGGGATCAGAAGACATTCAGATGTCTCCGAAAGGTGCTTTGCTGATACACTAACCATCTCATCCAGTCCCAGCCTGTGCTTATTGATGTTTTTGCCATAATCCTGACTTCACAGGCGCAGCATCCAAGTCATGCTGTGTCCTTTGTTCTTACAAGCTTTAATTAGCAGCGATGTGAGTGCATTGTCCAGGCGCTGTTCAGCAACCGTAGCTCAGTGGTTGAACATATGCCATGTATGTGTTGGCCCAAATTCAGTCCCTCTTCTGCAGGGTAGGGTGGTAATACGGAATTCCAAATAGTTCTTGTCCTTTTTAGGCTTAGAATGGTTAGCCAAGGTAAAAAACAGATAACAGAAATAAATGTTAACAAATGAAAATGCAGCTAAGAGAAGAGGATTCTTTGGAAAAGACACACAAGTCTTACAAAGCTATCACAGTTAGACTCTTCGTACAGATTAGGCAGAGATTTCCATGAGGTAAAGCATAAGGCACCATGCCTCTACTGTAATTGCCTTTTCCTTTCCTAAAGTCAGTTTGATAAACGACATGGGTGGAATCAGACATTGTGCAAGCAGAAATCCACCAAATCTACCAGATTTTCTCCTTCTCCTGCAGCCTTCCATGCTATCTGAAAACCTGCTATGGAGGGCTTTCCAGCTCTATGGAGCAGATTGGAAGGTGTGTGCGGGCTAGAAGGGGAGGGGAATGCACCCCTCCCCCACATCCCCGGTCCGGTTCTGCTCTGGAAGGGCTTCTGTCAGTGGAATAATACCATTGGATTCAACTCAGACTCTGAATGCACAGGGGCTCAACAGATAATTTTAGCATTAATGCAACAAGCAAGATCATGCCACAATTTTTACCTGGCACAGTGCTTGCATTAATGTGCTGTTTTGCTGTAAAGTATGGCCTATCTGCGATATTTGTCATCCCTGTAACGCTTAATACAGTTTTCTGTTTCTGTGCTCAGCTTTGGCCAGTGTAGGCCTAAGTGATGTTCTCATAGGAACACAACACAGGTTTTCAGCAGGGGTCCCATCTAAGTTTTGCTGCAGGCTGCTCTAAATAGGGGACGGATGTTGAATGGGTGGGCAGAGCCGTTTCAGGTCTCCAGTTCACATAGTAACAGCAAGCTGAACAGTCTAAAATTGGACAAAGGCAAGGCCTAAAGCAGGGAGGCAGATGGAAGAATAATTGCAAATAGACATGAATTCAGTTTGATTACACAGATTAAGGCTTAATTTCTGTAGGGGATGCGGTATAAGGTTTTGTAACAAAAAGCTTCCCAGAAAAAGGTGAGTTTTGAAGAAGGAAGAGAAAGAAATATAGGAGATGTTGCAGACATAGGTTGGAGAAAGGAAGAAAAGGTCAGGCCATACAATATATTTAATGTAATAGGCCTTTTTGCTAGGCCTGATTGTGGGTTGCATTTCCTGGCTAAATACCAGGGAACCAACCCAGTTGATTTTGGGTTCCTATTGACTATTTATTGGATTTGAGTCTCAGTGTTGTGCCTGGCATTCAGCCAGATGCCCCTGAAGACAACAGATATTTTCCACTGACTATCTAGATTCTCCAGGGCTATGCAACTTGAACTTCTGGCATGGAACGAACGAACAAACTATGAAGTCATGAACTCTTTTTAATTATTCAAAGTAATTAAAATTTCATCCAAGTTCTCAAAGGATTAAAAGCACAAATTAGAATATTCATTGAAGGATCTGTGCATTTTTCAAAAGAAAAACAACAGACTTGATTTGAAAATGTGGAGAGCCGTATTTTATCCCTCACCGGCAGCTTGTACTTCGGGTAGGCAAGAAAGGCCAGGTTATAGGCTGTTAGTGTGAAACTTGGTGAAAAGCTTTCAATATAAATTCAGCAGTGGTTTTGCTCTTTCTCGAGCCATCCTGAAGCGTAGAAAAAGAGTTCAACCTAAGCAGCTGGCTTGCAAGATTAGGTTTTTTCCTCCCAAGGGAAGCCTTTGTTATCACTTTGTTGTAAGCGTTGCTGTGAACTGCAGAGTCCAAAGGGTTCTGGCTGGGCTGTTGAACAGCAACACCTTCTGCACTTTGACAAGCCAGAGTGAACATTATCAGCTTCTGAACTGCACCTTCTGTATGGAAGCAGAGCGGCGGCGACTGGAACAACATTTGAATGTGGTGTTTCTGTATAGTTGGAACTGGAGTGCAGGGTATGTTGGCTGTTTTAAAGAGCCATGGAGCTTGCTTAACATCATTGGAAAGGTTGCCATTCGCTCCCTTAGCCAGTGCTTCTCTAGTCCTTGCTCCATGCATAATGGCTTGGATGCACTCTGTAATCTCATGAGGCCATCAAGACAGGGCAGGCCCTCCTGCATATGAAACAAAAGAACCCCCCCCCCCAAGATTAATGCTTCTGTCTGATCTGGATCAGTATCCCAGCCTGTTCACTTTCGAGTCTGCAATTTCTGCTTGAAGGAATTGTGCTTATGCCACCAATGGCATGCTGGACCTTATGCACTTGGTCCTGTGTTAGAAGAGTTCCAGATTAGCCCTACCCAACCATAGTACCCCCCCCCCCAGTGATGATGGACTGCAAGTCCCATCAGTTCCAACCAGCAGTTAGCTATGCTGACCTGGAACGAAGAAAGCTTCACTCCACCACAGCTGTAGGGCACCAGCTTGGGAAGATTGTTCCAGAGCATACAACTCCTACATGTCACTCCTGAGTACTTTAAACCCTTCAGATTTTAAAGTGTGCTGTCTTGCAGGAAAGCAGATCATCTGAAGGCGAGGATTGTATATTGGTGACATGCAGAAAGTTAGAAAGTTATAAACCAATCAGTATTCTGAATGTGAGACCACTTCCCCATTTAGTGGCGAGAAAGACTTACAGCTATTGGGCAGTATAAAAATGTTTATTGGGTGATATAAACATGTATTAAATAAATAACAAAGGACTGGTTCAAGCAAATAAATCCTCCTGGAAAATGAGTTGTTCTAATTGGATCTGGATTCCTATGGAATAACAATTGCTGTTAAATATGTGTATCTTGGATTTATGTATTTGTTTATGTAATATGCATAAACTATTTATTGTAGAGACAGGTATTTTGCAAAAGGTAACAAACTTTTTCCTCAAAATGTCTGTCCTTATAACTGTCTAATTCCATTAGCCCCATTAAAAAGATTAACTGCAGCTGAAATATCTCAGCAAATTCAGTCAGCCTTAAGTATGGCTAATTTTTCATAGTAGTAATCTTTCTATGTTTTTAGTGGCTAAAGCTCCACAACACAACAGTCTGATTTATATGTTTTTATAAACCAGATCTTCTCCCGCTAGATCAGGAAAACTCAATACTTCCTTGAGGCTCCCAAGCCTGGTATCTCCACCACCTTTCTGAAATTATCTAGTTTATCTCTTGTTTGCAAGGATGTATGAAGTATGCTCGCAAACCGTCCATGCTGTCTGACCCTGTTCTGGTGCAAATTCATTCTGCATACTTCTGACTGTATGTTGCATGTGTTTTTAAAGGCTTTTGGGGTCTTCAATAAAGAATTGCATCCTAAGAGCCTAACCAGGCATGTGGCAGCTGCCCAAAGTTCTTGTAGTAACTGGGTCACTGCTCAGGAACTACTAAGGCTTAAACCCTACACGTGGTAGCAAGCATGTGGACACCTGGTTTAGACACCTGTGATATTCCAAGCAGATCTGAAATACCTCAGTCGCCATCACAACCTGCCTGCACAATCTTGACTTTGGCATTCTATCTGCAGTACACGATAGAAGGCATTACTTTGGCCAGTGGTTAACACACTTAATAAACTGGTACTGTTAGTTGAACTTACCTGCCTAGGGATAGATACCAAAATGACGTATCTAATTGTACCAGTAAATTTAGCCTTCTCTAGACTTGTTCATTTTATTATCTGTTTGTTTCTGACTTGTAATTTTCTCTCTTTTGCAGCATCAGCCATTATGTCCTTGCGATGTCCTTCACTATGTTCCTGATGCTCTTAAGTGGACTGGCCCAGCTGCTCACTACCAAAAGACTGGCACTTTGGGAACGGCCTAAGCACCACTCACTGTGACAAATGACCAAGGTGCTCCTATTGTTGGAACTTTCGTTCTTCCTGAGGGACAAAATTATGAGACTGGCTGCTAGAAAGTCCTAAAGAACTTGATGCTGCAGAAGACAGCTTGATTCCCTTTCATTTTGGAACTGAATCTTTCTTTTTTCTTTTTAAAGGAAGAGGAAAGAAACATAACCATAAGCCTCCTGCCAAAAACTGAATAATTCTATGACCTGTTTTCATGTTAAGGACAAGTACTGAGGTTATTTTCTCATTAGGGATTCAAATGGATGATAGGGAAGGAAATTAACTCTGTACCTTTGCCTGGAAGGTAGCGGAAAACAATTTTGTGCCTGCTGGCTGTATGACAGGTGAACATCTTGTCCACTGTCTCTTCAAACGGTTGCCTTCTTCTGGACCAAAGGAGCGAACTGCAGTGTCAAAAGTTTAGTATGCTCTAGGATTGATTGTAGGTTATTTCTCATGTCAGAGATTAGGATCAAGTTTAGAAACTAGCTTATGATGCAATGACTCTAAAGCATGATTTCTTTAATTTTTCTAAAGCATGAGTGTGTGTGTGCTAGTGTGGGGAACATTTGAATGACCTTCTGCCGAGTCAGACCGTTTCTTTTCTAGCCCAGGACTGCTGGCACTGACTGATAGTGGCTCTCCAACTTTTGAGACAAGACCCTATCCTGTCCTTACCTGGAGATGCCAAAGATGGAAACTGCGTGCAAAGCACATGCTCTGCCCACCAAGCTATTTGAAAAGAGAAATGTTGCAGGTTAACTTGACTTTTTGCTGCTGTTTCCCCCATTGTTATACTCAAAATACATTTTGGGGGGCGGGAATCCTTGGGCCTGGCTCCCTGGACTCTGGTCTACTTTGACGTGGCCATGAGTCCAAGCATCTGATGAGTACATCCAATATTTAGGCAAGGTTCATCAGGAGTCAAGACCACATCACCTTTCCATGCCACATGAGGTAGAAGAAGGCTGCCAGTTGTGCAGCCTTCCTTCTGCATGTATTTATGGACTTCCTCTGGCTTGCTTTGATTTCCAAGACAGGGCCAAACACAAGAGGAAGTCCTCCAATACTACAGGGATGGATTCCATGGAGCTCAGACTGCATCAAAGGAGTCCTGCAAAGATTTTGTTAAGGCTGAGGGCAGGGACATGCTCAAGCCTTTCCCAGCCTTCTATAAGGCTATCTGAAGACTGAAATCCAGCTTTCCCAGTCCAGCTCTGCTCATTCCACTGATGCTAAATATTCCCTCCAAGAAGATCTGACAAATTGTAAAGCTTCAGAAAATGAAAAAAATATGTAGGATAATGTTTCAGGTGATACCTGAACCTTGAGATCAAGGGCATCCTGAAATTCATGGAACTACTAGGCTAGGAAAGTCATGTAAGGACAGAAGGGCCATGCTGGATTAGAGCAAGGGTGCATCTGGCCCAGCACAGTGTTCATAGAAGCAGGACACAAGTACAATAGCCCTTTCCCACACATACTTCCCAGCAACAGGTGTGTGCAGGCATACCTCTGAATGGTCCTGTAAATCAGATAAGGGGTGGTATATACCCCTCAGGACCAATCACCACAGATAGCCTTATCTTCCATGAATTTGCCTGCACTTCTCTTGAAGCCATCCTGATTGGTAGCCATCACTCCATCTCATGGCAGAAAATTCTGTAACATTTAACTATACAGTTTCTGAAGAAGTATGTCCTTTCATCTTTCATGAATCTCCCACTAAGAAGCTCCATGGGATGGGCATGATGACCCAAGGTCTTCATGGATGGCTGCGTAGTCAACACTCACCTTCTGATGTTACACAAAGCATGCATTAGACCTAAGCTTAAAGTTTAACAGAACAACAGCCCAAAATTCCTGCACTTGAGCTTAGCTTTCTCCTGTTTGAGCGTAATTCTCAGCCCAGCCTACCTTGTGGAGTTGTTCTGGTGAGGATAAAATGGAGCTATGTAAGCTGCTTTGGGTCCCTCACAAGAGCAAAAGGGTGGGAGAGAAATCCAATGTAAGAATAAATCTATTGGATTCTTAAGACTGCAGTCCTACATCTGTCCTACCCAGAGTATGTTCCAATGAGTTCAGTGGAGTTTTGTGCTGAATAAGTACCTTTATCTGGTCATCTTACTTCCTGCTCTTGCATCTGACAATTCGTTCTGAGAAAAAAGGGTTGTGGGCATTGGCTGATTTCATCATCTCCTTAGCTGAACACATAATGCAAAACTCGCCACCGGGTATTGCCCGATGGCAAACTGTAGCGTGGAGCAAATTTTAGCTCATTGGCAGCCTTTTGCTGAAACCTCTGCGGCTGGGTGGCCTGGGAACCATCAATCTGACTGTCGCTTGGCAACCGGCCTGTGTGACACCTCGGTCTCTGCAGCACTCGGGCCGCGCTTTAGCCATCGCCTACCGATAAACTGCAGTGTCTGGTCACTCTTCATGACGTGTTGCAAGACAGCCTCCCTCAGCTTGGGGCCCTCTGGTCTTTTGGACTGCAGTACCCATCATCCCTGACAATTGCCCATGCTGGCTGGAGCGGAAGACTGTTATAGGCTACTGCAGGGCACAGGATGGGTAAAGGACCCTGGCTTACCCATCTGCAGAGGTAAGACATTAAACAAAAGGCCTGCCATTGGTAAACAGTGCAAATCTACTTTACAAAGACAAACAAGGTGCAGTACAATAATAAACAACTTGTTGCCAGTTTAATATACCTACCTCAAATAATGCAATTGTTTAAAATAAATGCAATTAAGAGATCTTGTAGCTCCAGATATCAGCTACGGTAGTGTTCTTAAATAATTTGAGGTGCTCTTGCAGAAAATACATGTGTCATCTTTTTCTTTCTTTTAAATATAATACAAAATGCTATTGTTCTATAGAATTATTTTTAATCTAAATAAATGCAATTTGGTATTAAGAAATCATTCTCTGCTGAGCAAGCATTCTGGCTCCCCAGAAGACTTAAAACTATTGCTTTTTTAAGTTCTCAAAGCACTTCACATATAATAGGCTAGCACTGATAGGGACGTGCCTTTCCACCCACAATTGCAGACAAAATACCCTTTCTTTTGCAAGTAATGTTTAAAAATCCCGGTCCTGTGCATTGTTGCAGTACATGGAGTGCTTGCCCCCCATTAGCAGCTGCCCCAGTGTGCTGCCTTCTGTAGGCACCCCCAGCTTTAAGATCATTGGTGGAGGCACCATTCTAGTTGCTATTACCTCCCGAGGCAGAGTAGATGGTGATGAGGCACGGGTGGCAAGCAGTGCTTCTTTGGCCTCCTTAAAAGCGAAACCCACAAAACACAAAGCAGTAGTGAAGACTAGCATATTCCTAGAGATGACAACCCACAGCTCCCAAAGTTCACCAAGTGTTTTCTGTTTTGTGAAGATCTGGAAGAGGCAGACCAGTTGTTTTGCACCACAGATCCCATCATGCCTGACCATTGGCCATGTTGGCAGAGTGCCGTATTCCAAAACATCTGGAGGATGCTAGATTGCTTCCCTTGATCCTCAGCTTGTGTTGCTGAAAGTGAAGAGCAGGTGTCAATAGCACAGAAACCTGGGTGGGAGGTGCTTCGTAGCATGTCAGGGCCCAGCATTGCATATTCTGACTAGCTCTCCAGGGCAGAAGCTTTTTCCTTCTCCTTCAACTGGTTCTATCCAGTAGAAATGCCAAGAACTGAACTGAGTTACCTTCTGTGCATCGCCAGTACCTTGAGCTCAGATGGATATGAGCTTGTCACCCTCTTCACTCTCATGGCTGAAATAACTTCAGGGCAATACACTGGGGGGATCTTTGAGGCGGCCCATGTCCACCTCAAATGCTAGTAGAATAGCTTTTGAGGTGCATACAGTTCCAAATTCCCACTCATTTGGAAGCAGCCATTCTCTTGATTGATTACGACAGATGCTGGCAATCCTGGGAAAGTGCAGCCTGCTATAATTCTGAGGAACTGTAGAGAAGCCATGAAACACGCGTGTGATGGGAACGTGCTGGCAACTTCTTCGTCTTGGTGATAGCTGCAGCACTCTACCACCTGGCTCTCTGCAAATGATGCCATGTCACTACAGCTCCAGAATCCAGTGCAAAGTGGTGGAAGCATCCATCTGCTTGTTAGCAGCCATTTATCATACTGGCAAAAAGTATCTTCCCCATGTTCTTCACTGAGCTATTCAACAACAAGGAGACATGTTGGATGGAGACTTCTAATGGTGGCTGCTCATCCAGCTAGCCCACGTCTCAGGTGCCCCCTGGAAGCAAGTTCCAGAAAGGTAAAACAGACCCAGAGTTGTGGTGCCTTAAAAACTTTTTTGAATTGCATAAGCTTTCGTGGACTTCAGCTCACCTGACCAGATACATGAAGCAGTAAGATAAGCAGAGATTAGAGGGCATTGAAATGTAGGAAGTTCAGACAATGTTGATTATCGTACTTACAGGACCATTCACAAAGCAGTTGTTGGGTGATAACACTTGCATTCTTGCATCAGTGAGCTGCTTAACACATGTAATAAGATTACAACAAACACACACCTTTGTTCTTATTCAAACCACAAGTGATAGTGTTGATCCTTTTGCTAAAGTGTAGCTCAGCTATTCCTTGCTGAAATCAGCCCTTGGAGTCCTTGTGTCCAAGAATGGTCACCTTAAGCCCTGGGGGGATGAAATGGTCCTGTACCATTTTTTTTTTTAAATATTGCCATTTCTGATCATGGAGTGAGATTCTTTTAGTATTTTCATAGATACCAGCCTGTTCATCCTATGTAAGATGCATTACAGTGGAAGATGAGTAGGTGGATGAGACCGATGATGCTGTGGGTGGCCTTGTTAGATCCTGTAACAGCATTGCTCAAAAAACCAGGGCAGAGCTGGTGTCTGAGTTTGTCAGTGGATTTTTTATTTTAAAATAAAATTTATTTTATTTTTTCCTGTATCTCTGCTGTTGTTGGTAAGTAGATGTTTTAGGAAACTACCAGGCTGCCATCCGAGGCTGATGAGGGAGAAGTGTCATCTGGAAGTGATGATAGGGTTGAGTGGTTTAGTGGAGAACCAACAGACCCAGCAGAGAAAGCAATGGAACACTACTTCTCGCAGTTCTTCCTAAAGCCACTCAAAATGTATCCTTGATGAGCTATAGTCTACATTGGGAAAGGTAGCCTGGGATGGTAGACCTGTACTTCCTCACTAGGCCACACGTGGCTTTCAAATTTTGGAAAACAAAGCAATGCAATATTTGATCATCAGCATTGTGGCTTTAAGGATGATGGAGCCCACACCTTAAGAGAAGGATGCTATACTTTGCCAAAGAAGCTCCAATTTACTCCTTAAAATGAAACATTCAAATAAATGGCCCATAAGTGAATGTGTTCTGCCATGGCTGGTTGTGGAACAGCCTAATAGAGAACCAGGTGGCCCATGTGCCTTGCTCAACCTGCCAATGATTAAATGATCAAGAGAACACTTTTGCATATACAGAAACACTGACTGAAAAAGATGGCCTTGGTTTCCACCCTGTCTTCTCTCTCTCTTGGATAT